GAGGGAGGGAGGGAGGGAGGGAGGGAGGGAACGGGAGGTGAGGGCGTGCCTGGTGACACCCCTACTGGTGTCTGGGTACTTGAATTCCTCCAAATGTCATAAGGCTTCTTTGGAAAGAATGGGATTCTTCTCATTTGATGTATTTTCCCTGTCACTTATTTTTTTCCTCCTATATTTTTTTTAAGAGTAGAGACTGCAGCCTGGTCTCACTGGTTGACCCCTGCCTGTGTCTAAAGCTACAGATGTTTGTTTGACCTACACAGACTTCTAAGTTTTAATTAGCTGCCAACATTAAGAGAAATCAGAATATGCCATATAAAAGCCTGGAGTTCTGGATTCTCTTGAGCCACAGAGCGGGCAGCACAGGGCCTGGGCCTGTACATGGAATAATCCTTTAGCACTGAGCAGCGTGGCTGCCACCTTGACACAGGGCTCAAGTTCACCAGCTTGCTCCAGTCCCCATTGCTCCCTACTGTCTCACTCACCCCCAAACCTGCTGTGAGCTGCCATGGATCTATATCACCTGTGACTCATTAGGCACCCAGTGGGCATCTACCCTTATAGCCCCTGCCCTTCAGTGTTTCCCAGATCCACTTTAACCACTGATGCAATGAAATAATCTGAAGTTTCATATTTCACTTCCTTAGGAATTGGAAGTATCTGTATTGGAGTATTTGAATGTATTGAACTATTTTTTTTGGGGGAAAGAACAGAATAAGGAGAACAAGACCAGTAGGAACTCATTAGTGTCAACACTCCAGTAACAAATCAGCATCTGAACACACTTGCATGCTTTTCTTTAGGGAGCAGAAATTCCAGGGAATCCTAATTAGTCTGAAGAATGGAAAGATTCAAAAAGGAATTCAGCACAGACTGCAGAGGCTTCTATAAGAAGCCCTCAAACAGCAACATGCAAAGTGATTAGAGAAATAGAAAGAAATAAAAAATGGTGACCTGGGATAAAAGGCAGATGCTTAGGGAGATGGGTGTCCACTAGAGGTTGGACATCTGGTGAGTAAGGAGATGGAGAAAGGGAGAGGTGGAAGGGAGCAAAGGGAGGGGAAAGAAGAGAAAGGAATGGGTGACAGAGACAAACAAAACAGGAAGAAGGGCAGGAGGCTGGCTTTTCTAAAGATCGGGAGCAAAAGCATAAAGGAATCTCAAACACAAAGGAATATTTGTTTAAGCTGGTCTTTTAGAACAACACTAGAGACTTTTTGCATTCTGTAGGAAAAAATAAAACAGCAAAACAACAAAACACTAACATGCTGGCGTGGTACCCTGATTACAAGCAAATTCCTCCCAGGGAGAGGACTGAGAACAGCCCACCTTTGTAAGAAGGATTCCACACTCAGAACCCTGCTGTCTCCCCAGTGATTGGCAAATCACTTTCTTATGCAAAATTCAACATTATTGTTGGATATGAGGTACCCCCCCCAAGGCTCCTGTGCTAATGCAGGATTATTCAGAGGTGCAACGAATTAGACTATACAAACTGCTACCTAATCAGTCCACCTTCATGTGAAGAGACTGACTGGGTGCTAACTGTAGGCAGGTGGGGTGTGGCTGGTGGAGGTGGGGTCACTGGGGGTGTGTCCCGGAAGTGCGCATCTCCCCAGCTGCCACTTCCTCACCTTCTCCCTCCCTCCCTCCCTCTCTGTCTCTGTCTCTCTCTCCTTCTTCCTGGCCACTGTGAGCTGAGCTGCTTTCCTCCACCCTGCCATTCAGCCATGGTGTCCAGCCTCACCGTGGGTCCAAAGCAATGGACTCAGCAGCCTATGGACTGAGCCTCTGAAACTGTAAGCCAAATAAACCTTCCCTCCTCTCAGCTGTTCTTGTCAGGTATTTTGGTGACAGCAACACGAATCTGACCAGGCCCTCCTCCTCTCTGCACTATTTCCCACCTCCATTCTCTAAAGGACAAAGGACACAGAAGGCCAACAACTTGCAAAGGAAAGAAATTACATGCAGCATTTATGTTTTTCAATTAAGAAAACGAGTGTAATGTTGAAATTACTTTTGCCCTTCAACGACACGACTCCGGGGCTCTCTGAAGTTATGCTTCACCAGCTAAAGGAAAGGGGTTGCCCCAGGTTTCGCTGGGATCCTCACCTCGAATTTCTGCCTGAGCTCCACGTTTCCTTCTTCGTCCCCTTCTGGAATGGGCACGTTGTAGTACTCACCTTCTTCTTGGTTAAGCAACTTGTACCTTTCAAAGACACAGAGAGAAGCGGAGGTAAGCGCGAGCGGAGCAGCTCCTGGCCTTCCATCTCTAGTTGAGTGGCGAGTGAAATGCCCCGTGGGAGACGGCGCCCAGGTGGGCAGGAGGCTACGGGGCAGTTCAGAGATGGAAACTGGCTTCTCTCCCGCATCTCTAAGTGTTGAGAGCCACAGCGGAAGGGGCCCCAGCAAACTTCCAGCTGATTCGCTCACAGCGGCCCCAGCAAACTTCCAGCTGATTGGCTTACAGCGGGCCCCAGCAAACTTTCAGCTGATTGGCTCACTGTGGCCCCAGCAAACTTCCAGCTGCCAGCTGATTGGCTCCTCTGCGGTGATGCTCATTGGGCTGTTTCCCCGCCCTTTCAGACCATGGAGTTGCTCATTGGGGGACTCTTTTGGCTCCGCCCACATGATCCAGCCAATCGGCCTCAAGAGTGGGAGGAGAGGGGGTTGAGAGGCTAGCCAGAAGCTGGTAGTGGCAGTTGGGCTCTGAGGAAATTCCTGAAGAGCTCCTGTGGTGGGGCTTGTGTGTTCTAAAAATAAAGTTGTTTTTGCTTGACAAGTGGCTCATAAATTGTGCCCAGCCAGACTGCCGCATCTAAGTGGTCTGATGCTAGGGGACTGCTCAGTCTCGGGGTGTCCTTACCATCCGCTGGCCGGCATCTTCATGAGCTCCGAGACTCCAAAGGAAAGGGATCCCATGAAGTCATTCCTTGTTGTTCGATCCCAGTCCCAGATTTCTACGGACAGCCGTCGATCTTTGTCTGAAGGTTTTAGTTTGCTACAAAGTCACACACAATCACACACGGGGTTATCTTGACTATGCTTTCTTGGGAGATACCATATGCTCATGATCTGAGCCTGAAATAGTACATTCATGTCTCTTCCTGTGCCCACAGAATACCAGCCCTACACTGGGAGCTCAGGTTAGGGATTAGCCAGCCACGGCCCAGGGGCCCAAGCTGGCCACTGCTTTATTAGAACTGTTCTATTAGAACTCAGTATTTATATACCGTCTCTGGCTGCTCTGGCCCTGGAATGACAGAACTGTGCAGGGGCAACAGAGACTTGACCTGCACAGTCTAGGAGACACACTCCCGCCTTACAGAGCAGAGCTCGCTGGCTTTGCTACATGGAGAGCCCCCTCTCTGGCTGTCCACAGATACACCTGCTAGTGCACCACTGCAGCCACTTCTCATTCCTGACTTCTTCACTCCCTCCTCCCATTCCCTCCTTCCTACTTCCCCTTCTACCGTTCCTACTTCTGAAATCCTTCAAGGCCCACCTCAAGGTCATCTCCTCTGGGAAGCCTTCCCTGTTTAAAGGTGAGGCTACCTTCCCATTGCAGTGGGGATGACACTTCCTGTGCTACTCACTTGTTCTATGTTGTAACCATTATTCAATTCTTGCCTCACACCCTCTTCTAACCCTGAAAATAACCCAAATGCAGGACATTGGGGATATAGCTCAGTGATAACGTGCTTGGCCACCAAGTAAGTGCAAGGCCCTGGGTTCCATCTCCAGTACCACAAAAAAAGAAAAAGAAAAAAAAAATCTAAGTCTATCAAAAGGTGGGACACACCTTATATGCTTAATAATACCTTAAACAGATTTTTTTTTTCCTGGTGCAGAATAAATAATGGTAATTATTTGGGGCTGTAATCATGTAGTTCGTGGTAAACTGAGTTATTTTGCCCCAAACAGGTGATGACAGCTGTCCATACCAACAGCAGTCTGAGAGGTATTAGGATGAGGACATGTGTGGAGACATTTGTCACTGTCCCTCCCCCCCCCCAATTATCTCTAATAATGAGATTGAGAGCTACATGATGCACAAGAATGGGGTTTGATCTAGAAGAGGAGACACACTTACAACGTGAAGGATTCATTCCACTGGGGGTTCAGCGTGGAGCGGATGGTTTTGGTTTTCTGTTTGCTTTCATTCTTAGGGTCGGGAATAAGTTTCAGCTTCACGTAAGGATCAGAGAGTCCATTGGGATCCATAGGGATTAGATTTTTTGCATCTCGTACTGTGAAGAGAGAAGAAAGAAAAAGTTACAAAAAGAGGGCTGATCTGCATTCATTGGCGTCCTGTGTCAACACCAAGATGAGTCCAAGGGACATCATGACGGTGCTTAAGGGGAGGAAGGTGAAAATCAGAAGCCTTTGACCCTCAACACGAGAAGGCTGCCCCCACCTTCTCGGCTTTGATACTGGTCATCGGGTGGGCCGAGCGGTCTAGGCCTGGCCTCGAGGCAGCACCAGCCTGCACTGGCAGCACTGTGGACCTCATGCACCTATGAGAAATGCCAAGCCTGGGTCCCACCCCAAATCTCAGAAGTAGAACCTGCATTTTAACAAGATACCCAGGTGACCTTCATAGCTCTCTAGGAGAAAAGGGGCAGCCTCCCCGCATGCAGGCAACCTGCCCAACCTGGTCCCTGGCACTGCACATGCACTTGAACTCTTAGGAGGTGTTGTCCCTTTCTTCATGAAGGCTGGTGTATTCCGACCCCTGGCTCTACCTTGGAATCACTTGGGAGAGGGGTTACATCAATGCTCAAAATTAAATTAGAATATCTAAGGAATATGGCCCAAGTACTGGTTTTTCAAAGCTCCCCTGGTGGCTTTACTGTGTGGCATGGATGGAGCCAATGGTGCAGACGGCTGTAATTCAGAACTGCCTTCCAATGTACAGGTCCAGGGACCAGCATGTCATTACCTGGGAGCTCATTTGACATGCAGAATCTCAGGCCTTACTTCAAATTTACTACTCAGAGCCCTCACTTTAACAAGACCCCCACATGAACCCAAAGCACATTCCAGTTTAAAAAGCACTAACACAGGAGTCAAAAAGTAGTTAAAGCTGGGTGTGGTGGCACATGTCTATAATCCCAGGGACTCAAGAGGCTGAGGCAAGAGAAGCCCAAGTTCAAGGCCAGCCTTAGTAATTTAGTAAGACCCGGTCTCAAAACAAAAATAAAACTTAAAAGTGTTGTAGATGTAGCTCAGTGGTAAAGCACCCTTGGGTTCAACTCCCAGTGCCCCGCCCCCCGCAAAAAAAGCAATTAAAAGGAAAAACCATTGCACCCACAGAGGAGTCCTGCTCAGAGATGTGGCTGGCAGGGTTTACGTCAGTGGGGACAGCTGTCTAAAGTCACCACACATCAAAAGTGACAGCTTGTTATCTACCACAACGATGAGAAGGGACAAAGGTTTGTGGGTGCCTACACCAAAGTCTTCCTTACTATCTCCCCAGTCCGGGTGGAATTTACCGCGGTCAGGGTCCCTTGCTGGTCAGGCACCATCGACACCCATCCACCCAGGACCAGACTCTCTGGCTAGCAGTTCTCACAGTGAGGCTTCTGAATCATAACTCTGCAGGTGGGGACCAGAGAGCTGTTCACAAGCCCCAGGTGATTCTGATGTATGTAAAAGTTGGAGAATCGTGGACCTTGCCACCTGGCATAGGTTATGGCGGTTGAGAATTACAGGAGAAATTTAGAAGAAGGTGCTGCAGCTGGCAGAGGACAGGGACTAGAGGAGGAACAGAAGAATACTAAAGATATTTGATCTTTGGACACATTTTAGGCGGGTGTGACCCTAAGAGCAGAAGCTGAGGATGAGCAAAGCCCCTGGTAGCTGGTGGCCCCACTGTGCACTGACCCCTGCTGGTCCAAAGTTGTATGTGCTCTTTATCTGGTGCCTCAACACTGGGACCCCTGCAGCTCAGCCAAGCTACTTTAAGTCCTGCCTCCTCCTCTGCATAATCCTGGGCACTAGACCTGAGGCCTCTAGTTTTTTTTTTTTTTTTTCCTAATTACAAAAATGAGCACGGCCAAAATTCTGGTGGCATCAACTTGCTGGGAGAACTCAGGGAAATGTATATAAAGTACCTTAAATAGTTGGTGGCTTGGAAAATTAGAAGCAGGATTTCATGATGTGAGTGCCTACTAGACCTGGGCAAGGGTCCCCACTGCTCATCATTTGGAAACCTACATTAAGGTCAGAAGTTCCCCAGGGTACCCGAGCATTTGCCTGAGAATTCAAGGTTTAATGTCACGCAGAAGGTCTCATCTCCTAAAACATCGACCCTGAGAATTACAAAAGATGAACAATTTGAATGTAAAAAGGAGCTCTCCCTCAATGATTGGAAAGGGGCCAAAGGACTCTGATCAAACACCAGAACGAGAATCTGATACTTTTTTAAAGGCAGAAAATGCCTGAAGTGTCTAACACTGAGGGCTGCAGAAGGTCACATCCCAGATAAGCTAATGAAGAGGCGTACTGAGGCCACCAAGAGGTCCATAGTTGCCTCCTGCCATTTTCAGAGTTACTACAGGTGCTGGCCTTTACATCTTCAATTTATAGCCCTGATAGCAGCACACACGAAATCACTCCAGGCTGATCTCCTCTGCATGGTGATGAGCTAAAACCTTGATGGGATCTAAAGCCCTGGGTTCCCTGCTGAGATACTATCATTGAAGTTGAAAATAGAAAGAGTTATCAATTCCAAATGCCACTGAGGCAAACAGTGGATCCAAATTTCAATTTTCTTATTGCTGCAGATAACGGTCACCTGAGGTGTGACTCATGGCGGTCCAGGACAACTGAATCAGGATCATAAGCCACCAGCTTGGGGTTCCATCTGCTCAGAATGTGGGCTCTGCCTCTGCCACTTTCTGGTTGTGGGAAAGATATTCCAATTCTCTGTGCTTGTTTCCTCATCTGAAAAACTGAACCTGCTGGCAAGGCCAGCATTATGCAGGATCATACACGCTAAGTGCTTAGAAAGCAGCCAGCACGCTAAAGACCCACACAGTCATCATGGCTGTTAACACAAGTTACGGGTGGAACAACAAAACCCAAAGAAACTGGACAGATGGCTTAGGATGGGCAAAGGAATACCCATGGGAGAGCATGATGTGGAGATTTTCTAACTTGGTTGCAAATGAGTGATTTCAACAGTCTTCAAACCAGAGGGCACGCCGCAGGACATTGCTAACGGGAATGGCTCGCCACTCTGGAACAGGGGGAGAGAGGAAACACCAGAGCAGAATTCAAGTGGGGGAGAGGATGAGAAGAAACGCTGAAGGCAGCAGAGAGAAAGAAGGGACAGATGCCATCAGGAGACACGAGGGGGATGCTGTCCTAGCACAGGCGGGCGGCAACCTGAGCCTCAGTGACACACTGTAAACATCTGGGGTGTTTGGGTCACATACTGATGCCTGGCCCCATCCCCAGGAATCAGATTCACAGGATCTTTCAAGATGTCCCTCCAGGCGGGTCTACGTGATGCCCGGGTGAGTGCCACTCAGTGCACCCAGCAATTGTCCTCCGGTCGTGGATGTGGGATTAGCACTGTTGGTATCACTGGGAGACCTGACTATTACTCATGTTTTCCTTTCCATTAACTCACTTTTAAACATCTAACACTTAAAAAGGAAATGTGTCACAAGTAAATGGGATTTTTGGCCATAAATAGGAAGTACCCATAAAAGTAAAAACAATGAAAAATCTGCTGTGTGCCTTTCTAGTTGGACACAGCTGCCTGAGGGCTGCTCTCTCCCGGCTGCAAAGGGGAAACTGACAAGTGTTAGAGTGGTAAGGATCTTCTCGCCCCAGACAGAGTCTTTGTCTGCCTTACAACCAAGACAGAAAAGAAGACTGGAAAGGGACTTTCTCATCGCGTAGCCTGATGCTCTTTGTATAGTTCAGTACCTTCAGAAACCATCTCAAGTGCTAACAGGAGTCACGTCCCCCAGCGGTCCCATCCCACACGTGGAAAGCACAGTTACAGGAATGCCAATTCCCAGGTTATTAAGGATGTGGAATAGTCCACAGCCCAAGAGCAGCAGTGTGCCCAAGAAGAATGTCGTTGGCAAAGATTCCATGGCTTACTTCGGTCTCTCCCTTTTATTTAATTTTTTTGGTGGTGGTGCTAGGGATTGAACCCAAGGCCTTGTGCATGCAAGACAAGCACTCTACCAACTGAGCTAGGTCCCTAGCCACCCTTCTGTCACCTTCCACAAGAACCAAATTGTTTGGACCCACAGAATTAAGAGGGGGGAAAAAAAAGCCATGCTGCTCTAGAGAATGACATTTCTTTTAAGATCTCTCATGCCACCCCAAAGTGCCAAAGGAAGATCGTCTCTGAACACAGCAGCAGGGCCACAGTGCACCTCCCTTGCCCAGAAACTCGCAGCCCCACCTGCACTCCCTGAGCTCTGCTGAGCAGGCCCGCAGCCTCACAGAGCAACAAGAGCACCCGCCTCCCCCTGCTGTCTCCCTGGCACTTCTGCAGCCTTTACAAGAAGGGGCGTCTGCAGGAGTAATGCGTCTGCACTGTGGCACAGGCCACTGCAGAGTGGAAAGTCTGTTCTGTAACTCCAGGACGTCAGGAGAAATACAGAGTCCTCTTTCTATTCCCATCTTTGACTGGAGAGGCCTGTTCTGAAACTACCGGCTGCTGAGCCCGACATTGAGAACCAAACAGCCTGGGTTAAAAAGTTCTGTAATTTCTGGGATAATGTAAGGTGTCATTTCTGGATAAAATCCATTCAAATAAGATCAGGAGAAATACCTACACAAAATTACCCGACTCAGGTGGCTGGGTGAGCCCAGCATACGTGTGCTTTGAATGCATGCTCAGGGGTGAGGTGGGAATACAGGCCTGTGGGCCATCTCAGAGGGATGGGCTGCCTTGGCCAGGGGGCAAAGCTGAGCCAGGTGCATGTGGGAATAAAGAACAGGGTATCTGCCACCAGGCCAGCAATGCTGCCATGGGCCTTCTGGACAGGGAGGCCTGCAGTGGCAGACCACAGGGACTGCCGGGACTGCCAGGCTTTCTTTGGGACGAGCAAGTTGTCCCAGAAACGTGAGTCATGTAAGGGCTTCATACACACTCATGGATGTTCAGGGCCCTGTTGGGCTCATATTGCTTGAATGGGTGCTGCAGGTGACAGCTGACCTCTCGGGGGCAGCATAATGTGGGTGGTAGGGGTCCAACCCTGCTCTATCACTTATCAGC